AAAGCAGAAAAAAAAAATATCGAAACAAAAAACACATTTAAAAGGATCTAAAAAGAGAATTTCAAGATTGTAATGTTATGAATTCATGATTTGGAAACATTTGAGTATATTTATGAGATGCATCGGTCTTTATAAATTATAAAGTAGCTTGAAATGTTATTTGTGTGCATGAACAGAAATAAAGAGAAGGAAGACGAAAAATTAAAAAATATCAAAAAAGGGTTACACTAACTATAATAACTTTGATGTCACTAGCTTTCACATTATAAAATGTTTCAAGTATTATAAAATGTTTAGCATAGCAGTCATATTGAATTCAGTCAGATATGACAATGCATAAATATAAGTCTCATGATGTAACTATCACTAATACTAATCTGTTATGCATTATATATTATGCAGGAAGGCTTGTTAATATCATAAAGATTTAAAAGGATCTAAAAAGAGAATTTCAAGATTGTAATGTTATGAATTCATGATTTGGAAACATTTGAGTATATTTATGAGATGCATCGGTCTTTATAAATTATAAAGTAGCTTGAAATGTTATTTTTGTGCATGAACAGAAATAAAGAGAAGGAAGACGAAACATTTAAAAATATCAAAAAAGGGTTACACTAACTATAATAACTTTGATGTCACTCGCTTTCACATTATAAAATGTTTCAAGTATTATAAAATGTTTAGCATAGCAGTCATATTGAATTCAGTCAGATATGACAATGCATAAATATAAGTCTCATGATGTAACTATCACTAATACTAATCTGTTATGCATTATATATTATGCAGGAAGGCTTGTTAATATCATAAAGTGACACTCAAATAGTTTTCTTTTTATTAGATATATTTCAGATATTATATTATGATTAACTTATATATGTAGTTCCTAAACATTCATGGTATCTCACCAACTATTTGATTATGCATGAGGCAGTTTGTTATGCATAATATAATACGATAATGTATATGAATGATGCATGAAAGTTAAAAACACTACATTAGGAAAATGTGAATGTGCAATAAGCCTCTGTGATCAGAAGGATCATTTGAATCTCTTGAAACACGTAACATTTGCATGATTGCCGATGCTGCTTTGAAGTTTGCTACATTGTGTTCCGCGCACGTGAGTGAATCAAATCAATGTAGCAGTCAGTGTGTAACGCTCTGACCATTCATTCAGTTCTATGAAATCACTTATTAAAATAAATATGAATAAATATACATTTAATCATGCTTTATATGTAAGTTTTAAGTTTCAGTGCATGACATCCTTCATCCAGGACATTTAAGTCACGAAAGATCCTGACGTTTAAGTTCACACATAACTCATTTCTGTTCCTGCAAATATGAAATAAACGCTCTTACCTGAGATTGATAGAAATACTGCAAGAAACAGCAGATGCTGGTATAAATCCGTTTTGAAAGACGCCATTTACTCTGCTAGTCCGAGCATGCCTGAGCCCGTGGCTTGCGGACTCGAGCTCCACACACTTTCTGACTGAACGGAGCGCGCCATGCTGCTGAGTGACCGCTGCGAGCGCACTACTTCCTGCGGAAGAGCACCGGTCCCAGAGAGCGCTGCGTGACGCGGCTAATCAGTGCGTGAGGAGATTCCTCCGCGTGCAGCGTGACGTCGCAGGGATTCCCGCTCCTGAGCAGATATAAACACGAGCGGATTTACCTCCTTTTTTTATTATTTATTATTTTTATTATTATTTTTATCAGTTAAAGTTCTTAATGATTGAATGACGCTTTCAAAATCATCAATTATTTACAACTTGAAATAACATGAAACAATATGTTTGTGCTGATCATGTGATCTTTGCTGTTATTTCTGTTTTGCATGCAGTGTTTACAGTAATATATATATATATATATATATACACACTTACAGTTTGTATGTTTACAGTTTACAGTAATATATATATATATATTTGTGTTGTCAAACCATTAATCGCATCCATAATAAAAGTTTGTGTACATAATGTGTATATTTATTACGTATACATAAACACACTCACACTATACATTTAAAAAATATTTACATGCATTTATAAATTTATGTTTATATTTATATAAATATATTTTATATGTAGGTGTAACATTTTTTTTTAAATATATGCATGCATGTGTGTGTTTTTATATATACTGTACATAGTAAATCTACACAGTACACACACATTATTATAGTACACATAACTTTTATTATGGATGCGATTAATCGCGATTAATCTTTTGACAGCACTAAATACTGCTAATAACTGTTTTTTGATCAGTAGTTAATTAAAACATATTGTCATAAAGCCTAAATTGATTAGGATTAAAACATATTGTTCTCTTCATCGTATTTATCAATATTTGTGTTTGTTATTTTTCTGTTTATTGTTTACTGTGACATCCAAAGCCAGAAGATTGTTGCAGTGGCTCAGAATACTGTAGCATTTGAACACTTAAATCACACTTTTCAATGCATTAGACAAAAACATATTAAAGTGCGTGTCTGAATCTGTGTCTCAAATGCTGCAGGATCAGCAACAACTTCCCTTTTCTCCATCCAGCATTCAAATCTACAAAGCATTTGTGTCACTGAAGAGTCCAAATCTGAACATGTGACAACTAGCCCCAGTCTTTCATACACTAAGGTTGTTCTACTGTGTGTGTGTGTGTGTGTTGGTCAGCTGTCTTATTTCAGTCTTATGTCTCTCTCTCTCTCTCAGCTGATGGATCAGACCCAGATCTGCCCAGTATCGATGGCTTGAGCTGGACAGCTGCAGACTGAAGGAACAGTATTGATCTGCTCCTGCTCTCCCTCCGGACAATAGTTCTGCTCGGACTGCAGGTCAGGAAGAACAATACATCTGTTTAGTGAATATCAGGAGAAAAGAGCCTGAGTTCAGTTTCCCACAGTCAGCAAACACAGAGAAAAACAGCAGACTTCAGCCATTTCTAAAACCACAAAAGCTCTATGTATCCTATAATTGGTCTATCCTATTGGATAATAGGATAATTGAGAAATATTTAAAATGTGAAAAAAGTGAAAAATGCTTTTTAAATCTAGTCTTGTTTATATATTTATAACATGTCACATTGCATAAAACTTCCCAAAAGTCAACGATACAGGAATATATAATGTAATTGTATTCTAAATTGACATTTATATCTCAAAACATTAAACCCAATTATAAATAACAATTATGATATAATGATTAATAAGACACACACACACACACACACACACATATATATATATATATATATAGTAATTATAATAAAATAATAATAAATCATTATTAATAATTGTCACAATAAAAATGTAAGAAATCTTGCAATGAATAGTGTGACTGTGAATAAATTCTACTGTAGTTTAATAAACCTGAAACAGTTGTTATTCATCTCTGGTTTGCTGTGTCGCCGTGATTTCACATCTGAGTCGTGAGGATGAACAGAGTTATCTGTGTCTGGGGAAAAACACGTCATTTATTCCATTTCATTTTGGAAACAGCAACTGCTAATATGCTAATGCATGAGATCTGATCAATAAGGGATAAAATCAATATGAGATTCTCACAACAGAGCGAAAGAAGATCCGGCATGTATTCTAGGACCCTTCTCACTGGACACTTTCCCACATCACCCCGCCCCTCGGCAGAAAGCCACACCCCTCTGACCCCAGCACAGCAGTGTCCCAGAGGTTGAGTGAAATGGTGTGTGACCCATCAGCTGACCTCTGCAGGACTGTGGGCATAAAGGGGGATGGGAGAGAAAAGAGAAGAGAAAAGGGGAAAACAACAGCATTGTCACTCACTCCTGTGGTAAACGGGCCCACAAACATCCTCTACATCACTCAACACTCTCACTCTGCTCAGCTCTGAGGCTTTTACTACTTTAACATTATATGTGAACATGTATTTTAATGTATTTAACTCTATTATTTCATGCAGAATATTCCAAAAAGTATATTTAGGCAATATCTAATGTATTCGATCAATAAAGTATTATTTATGCCACAACACAGCACACGTTGTAAAGAAGTTTACAGCGATATTGCGCCCCCTTTTGGCAGAAATCAACAGCGACGCGTCCGATTTCCACCTGCGCTGTTACTGCTGCCTAGTGGACATTTAGAGAACTGCATCACTGGACATATCAAATACATAACTTTACAATAATTATCACGAGAACATGTTTTCTATTTATTTATAATGACATTTATTTGTAAATAAAATATATATTTATATGAATAAATATTAAATAAATATTCAAAACTATTTGTATAATAATACTAATATAAATATAAGTTTTTCATTACCATTTGTAAAATGTATAAAAATAATACACATAAAAATACAAATATAAATAAACATAAAAATAAATGTTATTCAATACAATTTGTACAATAATAATAAATAAATGTTACTCAAAACCATTTGTATACTAGTACTAACCGTAACAATAATATAAAAATAAATGTTATTCAATATCACTATATAATAATAATAAAACAAATAAAAAAATAAATCCCATTGGTCTACAAATAAAAAAATAATAATTCATAAAATAAATGCCATTCAATTCCATTTGTATAATAATAAGTAAAATAAAATTATTAGTAATAATTAAATTATGTACCTTCCAGAAGAGGATGCGCTTGCCCAGCGGTGTTTCCTTTCTGTTTTAAACATCTTCAGGCTTTTTCCGTGCTGCATTTATCTTTGTCTGCTGACTAGCAGGCGTTTCCTGTTAAAGTTACTTTGAAACAATATGTGAAAAGCCTCTAAGCGTACATATATAAACATAGAAAAATTCTAATTTTAGAAGAACATTTCAAATGGCACTTAAGAGGCTTTTGCATCTGAACTCTTCATGTATTATGACAACTGCTTAACTAATAACTCTTAAAGACTGTAAATAAAGACCACACAAACCTTAATGAAGACATCACATGGGAAGTCTTTTTCATTTTATTAATTTCCCAAAAATATGCAGCCATAAAGATCGGCGTGACCATTAAAATCAGCACAATTTACAATAAAACGAAAGACACTTTTGCTCATAAATCTTTAATAGACAATCCTTTCTGAAACTCACTCTCGTCAGTGCCAAAAACATTTGTAGAAATGCAGTTCATATAATAGTGTCTAATTAAACAACAGTATCGACGATAAAAGTGTTTCCTCATTAAAAGTTGCTCGTCAGCACACAGAATCGAATAGTTTTATAGTACAAATGAAGGCAAAGTTATTTAACAGTCTGATACGTTTCTTGCAAGACAAAATGTGCCTACTTTAAGCAATATTTAAGCTGTAAACATTTAGTAAATTATATAAAGCAATGATTTGTCTCAATACAGCTTGACTGAGGTGATCTATACATAGTAAGACTTGAACCTTATGATTTTAGAAAAATGCTTCAACCTTCAAAAGCAGTAAAAAAAAAAGATTTTAATAATCATATGGTTTTCAAAAGTGGGCAATCTGTAAACAAAAACACATGTAAACAAAGTCAAAGTGAGGAAAAATCATGATTAAGAGCAATAGAGCATTTGATCTGTACAAACAATGATGCCTGGATACATCAGAATTTTTAAAAATTCAAAAACAAATGAAAAAATAACATTATTTGTACAGACTGCCAGAAATATAATGGTCTCACATTGTGCATGTTGGGAAATCTCATCAGCCAAATAGTGCACATCCATAACGCGTGACTTAAAAGCTCATATTAGAAATACACGATTCCTCAATTATGCTCAAATGCATAGATACGATCAAATCTATAGATGTTTCGAAATCTTGTACGTAGAGACATACAGCTGTATGCAAGAGTACATTACAAAACTTTATTCTGTAAACATCAGAAACATACAGATTTGTGATTTTATAACGGTGTGTCCTCGTTTCCCGTAGAGCCGCTCGCACATGCCCTGATGGTCCTGATGCTGTCGCCATGGTTACGCTGTTGCCGTGGCAGCCGGAGTCTAATCCACCCCATCAAAGCCCTGAGCGTTTTCAATCGCCATGAGCAGCTTCTCACGGAGCTCCTCGAACGACTCATACGGAGGGAGATCCAGCCGGTTGAAGCTGACGGAGAGACACAGGACAAGTCATGAACGAGACAGGAGAGACAGGTAGACAGGTGCAGACACACAGACAGATCCCTCACCAGGTGTGCGCTCGAGGCAGTTTGTCCCTCGCACCCCACTGTTCGATAGTGAACAACTGCGGCCCGTTGGATCCTGAGAAATCACAGAAACACAGAATGTCATTTTATCAAATACAGAGTTCTGGCATGAAACTCTAGATGGCGCAGTCCGATAGGTCTAACTCAGTCTGACCTAATGACATCATTATCACATGGCACAGCTGATTGGTTCTCTCCTGTATCGGTAGCCAATGAGCTCGCTGCTCAACATTCAAATATATGACTAGTGCTTGCAGTAGCAGTTGCAGCTTGCTTCAGAAACCCTCCACCTTCCCCAGCTCCACCTGTATAGATCTGCTACGAGGTGATTCATGTATGCTATATGGGGGTTATTCATATGTGTTATATGTGCAGCAGCAGTATTTCTTACATGCTCACAGCAGCATGTTGTCCCTGTACTTGCTCTGCAGCAGCAGCAGCAGCAGATCTATTCCGCCAAGACCAAATACATTAACATTGTCATGCACATTACCATGCCAATCCTTCGAGAGAACTGCATTAATATTATTAACGGAGTGTCTATTTACACTGAGTGCAAATAGCCGCCTTGTTAGCAGAGGCTATTTACACTAACTCCGCCCACCAACGTGTGATAGTCAATAATGAAAAAAGACGCTTGTTAAACATCAGTTTCAGTGGCGTAGATGGTAAGGCGCATTCTTTTTGACGAGTTCGAACCCACCTTTTGCCGAACTTTTTTTCTCCCTTTCAAATCTCATATAGCATCGGAAAGGCATTTCTTTTCAATAAGAATGAAGGAAATAATCAAAAAGTTGAAAATAAAGTATTGGGTAGGTGTAGGGAGGGCTTTATTGACCCAATAAGGTGACATCCATTTAATCATTTGAATTAAAATTATAATTTACACTCAATACATTATTACTGCGTACTGTTTTATAATGTACTACAATACTGAGGTGCAGATAATTGCCACTATTTGCAATAAGTAGTATAAATAGCAGAAAATCTAGCTATTTTTAACAGTGTAAATAGAATCTATAGCTATTTGCACTTAGTGTAAATAGCATATCGTTAAAAAAATACTGCTATTTGCACTTAGTGTAAATAGAATCTAATTTGTATTTTCACTTAGTGCAAATAGCCGCTGCCTAATATTAATGAGCTTCATGAGATGGGGGCGTGGCTTACCGTAGAGCTCAGCGAAGCCGTTCATCGGTACGCGGGACGTTCCCGTCACAAACTGCAGCAAACGGATTCGCTTCTCTGCATCCATCAGCAACACCGTCTGAATTACCATCAACAAATTCAAATCAATTCATTCTGTAAGTTGTGCTATAATACTGCAGTTACAGTGATTTTACCATGGTTAAGAGGGTTTTAGCTTTAAGTTTTAGCTACTTGCTATGTACAACAACAACACTTAATCATGGTAAAAATCACCTACATCATTAAGTACGGCTGCTCAATTATAACAAAAGTCAGAATCACTATTATTTTGTTCAATACTGAAATCATGGTTATTTTGTGATTATTAACAAGTATTTTATCACGATTACTCATAGACATTAGAAACATCATGTATTTATTCAAGTTTTTTTAAATGTCTTTTCGACATTGGATATGCCTGAATATCAAATATAATTTGACTGGAAAAAACAAAAAACAACAACAGAAAAATAAAAATAAATTAAATAATTTACACAGAATTGTATTAATTGTATTTAGAAATAAATAATATTAAAAATAATAAATAAAAATAAATTAGATAAAAATAAATATCTACCTCTGGATTTATATATATAAAAAAAAACACATAAGAGCATCTGCAAAACTGAGTGCGGCACAATAACTGCTTTATCTCTACTGTTTTTATGATCATTCAAAATTGTTATTAAAATTTAAATTTGCCCACAACAATCCTTAATCATGGTAAAAATCACTGTAACGTGATTTTTTTTAGTGGCTTAGTACTACCTATAATTAGAGATGCTCAATTAAGGCCAGAATCAAGATTATTTTGTTCAATGCTGTGATCAAAATTATTGCACGATTACTTATGTGCGTGTGTGTGTTAAAATAAAAACTAAAATAATAAATAAAATAAATCAGATAAAAAAAAAAATATTATTAGAGGAACTATGTTGTTTTAGTGCATTTCTACAATCTATTAAAAACTAAAAAAAGAGCACTGCTGTAATGGAAAGGGACACGCTGAATTTATAGCAAAATAGACAAAACTGAATACAAGCCCAATAACCGTTTTTATAATCGCTTTAAGCCAAAATTACAACTAAAATTAAAATGAGATTTGAACAAAAGCAAATATGATTTGAGTTTTAATAATAAAGAAACATGTCAGGAATCAAATCTGACCTTCCAGAACCAGATGATGACAGGGTGATTTGGGTTGTAGCCATTTTTATATTTGGTGTTTTTAAAAGTGGTTTCCTTGAAGTTTAAATATAACAGAACTGATAAATTAAAAAACGATATGAAAAAAAGAAATAAATGTAAATATAAACATATATAAACAAGATATTTATATATAAAGAAATAAAATAAATTATAAAAATTTATGTATGTATATATATATATACACACACAGTATATACACAGTATATATACAGTATATATATATATATATATATATATGCATTAAATTAAATCAAAATAAATACGAGTGACTATATCATTGTAGTGCACTTCTACAACCTACTGAACATTTACGAAGGGGCAAAAGCAAACCAATGTAAAGCACTGTTTACTGTCTACTATTTTTTTTTTATTGCCACCTCGGTAAATTACATATTTAATTCAATGAGTGTACAGTTATTTATCATAATATAAACCGGGTATTTCATATAGAGTTAGATTAGATTAGTGTATCTAATTTTGTGTAATAATGTCCATTTGAGGCACATTGCATTGTGAAATACAGTATCTCACAGTCATATACTGTACATTGAAATATTTGATAAATGCAGTAGATCATCCAAGTATTGCATGCAAAAAAAAAAAAAAAAGGACTACAAAAATAAATAAATATATATATATTCACTCTGCACATTATACATAGAAGTATTCAGCTATTTTGTAGGTAGTGTGGTAGTGTTATTTCTCTCTCTGAAAAAGCGCTAAAGTGACATTTAGAGCTGATGCTGATTGGTTGAGCTGTGCCTGTCACTCACCACTGACTCCATATCCTGTAACGTGATTGGCTTCTGCAGCATCATCTTGTAGAAGGGCCGGATGAAGAATGCTGTGCAGACAAAATCATTTAAGTGTAAATGATGACAGAATTATCACTGTAGTTACATTTAGACATTTGTTGCCCTTAGTACATCGGTCTGATTGCGTGCAGCGTGTCTATAGATAAAGTCAAACACTGTGAATATGAGTTGTGGGCATTTATTGGTCTTGACAGGTTACTCACCATCCAACAGCTTCCCGTGATAAACGGCCATCCCAGCCACCCGGCCGATGAACTTAAAATAGGACAGATGGTCCTCGTTACACAGACCTGAGTTGGGGTTGATCTGTAGGGTGTAGTTATCCCTGCAATATTCATACAGCAGCATTTTTAAAACTTTCTAAAAGATTTTAGCACGTTCTTAATAGGGCTGTCAAAATGGCTGAAAAACTAAATTCGAATTTTGTACTTAAATATTATCAATATTTGAATTATATTTGAATTTAAAATGCATAATTTCAGTTAGGGGGAAAAAAGCTTTTGGCTTCCCTCTTGAGGCCACAAGAGGGCGCATCGAGCAAAATATTACTAATGCACGTTTCTTCAAAGCAATAAAATAACATGACTGTTATTTAAAAAAAAAAAACTTTTAAAAAAGTGCATAATGTTTAAAATAATGTTTAATAAACCATATATAATTAATTAAGTTGCTTAAACAATTAGAAACAAAACAGCATCATGCATGTATGTATAGTTTAATACAAAGGACCGAAAAGCAATCACAAAGAGTAGGCTACTTTCTTCATTTAAAAACATGAGATGCAATGGGATGGATAAAAATCGCCATAAAGTCTTGAGACATGATTTATAAAAGTTGAACTTACTTTAATTTTACATGGCTTTCTAAACATGCCGCTCTCTTGTGCGAGACGCGAGTGCAACGCTGATAGATGTCCCGCTAGAAAATGTGATAAATATGCGTTCTGTGTAAACGGCTTGGTTTCGGTTTCGCCGTAAACAACATCTTCGCCACACTGATGCTCTCGTTTTCTGCAATATATTGAATGAACAACGTAGCAGCGCCGCATCTAGTGGCTTCAACTGGATAAGCTAAAAAAAGCATTAAAATTCAATGACACTTACATCGTCATCGCATCTCGTGC